ATTCTTTTTTTTTTCTCAATTCACATAACACTTATCACAACCATGTCTTAGAACAATGCAAATGACATGTTCACACAAATAATGAGGAGATGACCATTTTCATAACATTGCACAATTCACAACAACACAATCATGATACAACATCAACAATGATTCAACAAGCCTTTCAAATCATTCTCAACACATCACACAAACAATTAATCACATTGCCTTTTTATTACCCCTTTTCCATCATTAGAATTAATCAATGTGGACAAGTCAACCCATCACCAAGTTTCATTACCCCCAAACACATATTACAAGGAAATACACAAATTACATACACTTAACAAGAGTTTAGAAATCCATTTGCCTCAAATAATTGAACAATCACTCTGGGACTTGAGCCTTCCCTTTTCGTTGAGCTTCCAAATTAATCCAATCTATTCAAGTACATATTCACAATAAGATTTCGAAACTAACAACACCCATATTACTATAGGTTTAGCCTAGACCCAAAAGCTCACCCAAATTTATAATTAAGTTCGTAAATCTTGATGCTAATTAACATTCCAACTATCATATTTTCCAAGTTTCAAGTCTAAGGTTAAATCCCAATTTTTTTCAATATCATAATTCGAATGATATTCATATAATTCGGTAACCCAATATTTAATTACCTATTTCCATATATCAAACTTAAATTATATGATGATAATAAAATAAGAATTACCAATGTTACGAAACCAGTGGTGAGAATCGCATGAAGCGAATACATAAATTCCTAACCTGTAGGTTTCTACTTATAATATTAAAGTATGTAATGATTACCATCATTGACCCTTAGAAAATTTTGTCCCCACCAATTTACAACCCACCAAAGTGACACAGTAACACCGTTACTTTTTCCAAGAACCATTTAATTCTTAATTTATTGTGTAACAATATGAATTCTCCAGTAAACATTCAACATCCTAATTGAATCTAATTTACTATCTATTAAACAATTAAGGACTGAGAATTTACCTCGAGTGCAGTCGTTCTAGGGTGGCTCCGTAGGTTAACTTCCGCCTATTCTGTTTTTCTTTTCCCAAATTGTGATCTAATTACAAAGTTAAATTCCACTAACTTAAATCAATTTATATGGGCCTAGTGATAAAAGGGGTATTAGATAAATTATAGGCTTAACTCAATAGCTATATTAGGCAAATATTCAAAATTACCAAAAATGACCTTCCGGGTCATTAAATGGTCCCATTAATATTATAAATTAATAAATTTTTAAAAGTACAGATATATCTAAGAAAATTTGGTGAAATATGATCCTATTATATTTTATTTTTTATTAAAATTTAAATCTAGTTGAAGCTCATCTCTAACTTTTCTTATTGTATCCAAAAGTTTCGGTGTTGTCTTTTCTAATAGCACTATAAAATTGTGAAGAGTTCTAGATGCAAGTGTTTCCTTACACGTAACTGGTTTCAAAGGTATTGTATTATATTCAACTTTATTATCAACATTGTTTTTTCAATAACATTCACAATTTGTTCTAAGCTTTGGACCTCTGAACATGTATCATTTTCACCCATTCAATAAGTTATTAACATCCATTATTGTGGTAACTGAGATAATTAATCATGACCTCAAGTTCGTGAATGATGTTTTCACAAGTGAGTTCTTTCCAATTCTTTGAGATTCCATCCCTGAACAATTGTTTTGGTGTCGAAATAATCTTTAAATTAATAAATATTAATTTATCAATTAAATAATACCTCTACAAAATAATAATATTTCATAGTCCCGCTTATATTAATTTATAGAGGTTTTACTGTAATTGGAGAGCGCTTGACAATATAGTTATACCAATTACAAATCTATATATAATATAAAGGAGAAACATAGACAAGGTGATGTGGCACCCCTCTATGGCCTCCATTTATATTTATTTTTTATCTCCTTTTTTTGAGATTTTTTTCTTAATTCTTTTCATTAAATATTTTATTTATTAAATAAAAAAACCAATCATATTTACTGTTCTAATTATATCTAATGAGTTACAAAAAACCTCCATCTATTCATATTTTCTACTTAAATAACATGTCTCTTCAACTTATTCTTATGGATTATCGAATCTATAAATTACAATCATCCATGGAGATGTTGAATATTCATTTTTCATTTTTCATTTTCTCATTCTTTCTTTCTATTGGTGCATTTTTTCTCATTCTTTCTTTCTAATAGTGTAGTTTTTTTTTTTTTTTAAAGAATAAATTAGTCTTCATCTTTTTCATAAGAAATCATTGAAAAAATAGTGACATGATATGTTCTTCACTTTGATGAATATCAAAGATATATTCTTCAAAAATTCATTATAAAGAAATGGTCACATTAATTTAGTACAAGATCATCAAAATGAAGAAGGAAGTTTAATTATGTTGAAAGATTCATTAAGAGAGATGATCATATTAGTATAAAGTTTGAATGTTTCCAATATTTTAAAGATTCATTAATGTATTGTTTTGATTTCAATATTCTAAAAATTTGTCATGCTTGAAAGGTATATTATCTATCGTACATTCCTCATAGCTATTAGATATTGTTGTACTTAAAAATCTATATATAATATAAGCTAGATGTTAGAGAAGTGAAGTTGCACCTCTCTTTGGCCAAAGATTCTATTTATCTTTTTTTCTCAATTTTTTTTTTTGACAATTTTTCATATTTTTCTACTTACTTATTATTGTACAAAAAATAAATATATCAATTACTACTCCTCTATTTATTGTTATACTTAAATGTCTGAAAAATTATTTACACTCATTATTATTCTTTGTTACAAAAAATTAAAAGTCTCAATATTTACTACTTTAATATTTCAAGAGTATCATCGCTTATATTATTGTATCTGGCGCATCAAATTAGTGTATCATGTATAAAATGTACATCAGATTAGTGTATCATGTATAAAATGTACATCAGATTAGTGTATCATGTATAAAATGTACATCAGATTAGTGTATCATGTATAAAATGTACATCAGATTAGTGTATCATGTATAAAATGTACATCAGATTAGTGTATCATGTATAAAATGTACATCAGATTAGTGTATCATGTATAAAATGTACATCAGATTAGTGTATCATGTATAAAATGTACATCAGATTAGTGTATCATGTATAAAATGTAATGTATCTTACTTAACGATTAATGTATCTCGCGCATCAGATTAATGTATCAACGCTTATATTATTGTATCCGTTTGAGGGATTTCTGTAATTATAAACTTTTAAGGGATAGATTGTAATTTTATGTTAAAAGTATGTGATTTCTGTAATTTGCCCATTTTTTTTCCTCTTTCAATTTTGTTAAACACAATTCTCAGTATTTTCTACTTTAATATTTCAATATATTTGTCTCTTTTTTTATTGTATTTTTTCCCTTTCAATTTTGTTAAACACAATGGAGTAGTACAAAAAGAGAAGAAGTTTATTTGCTTGCTTTCCTAATAAAACTTAAACACCCAACAAATGTTGAATAGTACATGAGTTTTTTTTGTCTTCATTATTTTATTTTTTCCTTCTTTTATTTATTTTAAAATTCTTATCTCCATAACTTATACCTAATTGAACTTTTACTTTAATTAATATTATTAACTCTTTTCTTTAAATTTTTATATTCATAACCCCCAACTATTTAATTTCAAAATTTAATATACTTTATGATATTAATTTCTTCAATTTTGTCTATATAAATTAATATTTTTTGTTTCATTAGATTTCTAATCAAGAGATTATTATTTTTATTCCATATTTAAAATAGTGATATTCTATATTGTTGTAGTATCAGATTTATACTTTAGTTTGATTCCATGAAAAAGCTCTTGGGTATGGATAGAAGAGGTGCCTGATTAAAGCTCAAAAATAGTTGCATTGATTATCTGATTTTTTATCATCTTTGTTTTTGTGATTAAGGACTTGAAAAAATTGTGTTGTTATTTTTCTCTTTTTATTTACTTTTTCATATGTTCTCTCTATATTTCTTTTATTTAGGTTCTTATAAATTTTTTAATTGTAGTAAATTACATTTTCATTTAGGCTCAAATTAGTAATTTGTAACTTTGTCAGAACACAACTAATTACGCCAACAGACGTTCAAATTTTATTACTCATGGATCAAAAGAAATGCATATTAAATATTGAAATACATAATTCTTAGGTATTTCTTTTGGTTAAGAACCATTTAAATTTGTTCATTTCTTCTACTTCTAAAGAATTACCAAAATAATATAAGATATATACGAAAAATTAGCAATATAGGTTTATTTAGATGATAATGAAAAATAGAGAAAAATAATTATTTAGACAATGATGAATAAGAGAAAAACAAGGATAAAGAAATGATCAAATATCAAAGAAGAAATGAAATAGAAATATTTATCTCTTTTCCTCCTATTTTAGTTTCATCATTTATTTTTTGAATTAAAGGAAGATTCATCGAATAGTAAATTTATCATTTGACAAAAATAAGAAAAAAAATCAAGTCCTTAAATATGTTTATCCGAATTTTATGCATTAACATCATAATATATGAATTTTTCTTCTTAATAAATTAGTCTTTTCATTTTGAAAAATATTTGACGATAAAAATGTAATTCACTTAAGCTCTAATTCTACAAAAATATTTGTATTGTGATTTCATTTTTCTTATTTCTATAATTGATTTTTTTATTTCTTGTATCATAATTATTTTTAAAATAAATTTACATATATATTTTTTAACTAGGCAAAGCGCGGCCAAATTCGCTAGTTAAAAAGAATACCCCAACTTTGGTCGAATTTATTGTTGCGATACTAAACTTTCATGAGGATCTATTACCTCCCTAGACTATTTAATACGATATTAAATAGTCTAGGGAGGTAATAGATCCTCATGAAAGTTGGTATATTTTTCACACCCTTATCCAAAGAAAAAAAAGAAAGAAATAAAGTACATATTTTTTTAATTTCAACATCTTGTTTATATCTTTCCGTCGTTTCTCTGCAATTTGTTCTCTATCCTTGCAGTTCGCTGATCAAGTGTTCAATGTTTGCACACTGACACAAAAAGCAATCTGAAAAGACTTAACTCGTGCCGCAGGAAATCCACAAAAATGGCAGCAATATCCTACAAAATTACTATAAACTCTAATCTCAATACCAATGGCCTACTATCACCTCCTCCAAACAAGCTACACTCACATCTTTTACCCTCAAATCAAAAATTTTGTGGCCACAGGATCCTTGCAAGTCCACCTCTATCATTGATTCGAAGTAATAAAAGTTGGCATGGATTACTTCGAGTTTCGAATTTGAGTCAGTCTTCCGTGTCTAACTCCTTTGATGTTGTCATAGTTGGTGCCGGAATCATTGGATTGACCATCGCACGCCACTTGCTCCTTGCCTCAGATCTCTCCGTCGCCCTAGTTGATGCTGCTGTTCCTTGCTCTGGCGCAACAGGAGCAGGTAAAACTTTATTGAACATCTTATACATTGACGACCAGACGACAATGTTTTGAATATTGGAATGATATGGGCCAAATACTGCAAAATGGATATTGAGGATTTATATGCTGACTCAACTAGCTTGGAGATGGAGAAGTAGTAGTGGTTGTATAGCCGAAGCCTACTAGTTTGGGTTCAAGGTTTAGTATAGTTGATATATTCATATGCATACCTTCTTGGACTGAATGCTGTATATATTAACTTAGTACACTGTCAATCATGAGTTTATTGAAATTACTGACATATATCTGATTGAAGATAGATTAGTCACAAAGATCAACTAAATAAGTATGTCAATGGTCTGTCAAACACTTAAGTGGAAGAGTTAGTTTGTTTCTATAATAAGTATTAGAAGTGTTCATGTAAACCCTTATTCTCTCACCTGAGAATTTTGGAGAACATCTCAATCTGCTAGCATTCCTATTGTTCCCAGTGACTTGACTGATTGATTGTGGATTTTCTGTACTGTTTCTCATTTGAGCTGGTTCTAGGTCAAGGATACATATGGAAGGCACACAAATCACCCGGTACTGAGAAATGGGAGTTAATGATGCGAAGCCATCAATTATGGGAGAGTCTAGCCAAGAGCATTCAACTTCAAGGGATGGATCCTTTAGAGGTACTTGGCTGGAAGAAGACAGGTGATTTATATCCTTCCGAATATCTTCTTTCAGTCATTCTGCTGCCGATATCTTAAATCAACTTACATCCCTGGGTGCTTCTTTATGACTTAGGAATGGGCCGACCTTTATCATATTATATGTCTTATTTTCTGTTCTATCTTGTTTATGTGTTTGATTCCCGCGAAGTGGTGGTTACCTAGAAGCTTATGCAATATAAATATAAGGAGAGTATCTCGATCGAAAGTGGATATGATTCTGACCAATGAGGCTTTTAGCTCTACAAAGCAGCCTAAGGGGTTAGAATAGGATGGAGCAATGGTGAAATATCACATTATTTTCCTGTCTTTTTAGAAAAAAACATTTTCAACACTGAGGAGGTATGTTCCTCCTTAATGATATACATACTCAATTGTAATTATTTTTCTTTTTTTCTGGAAAATTCATTTCCAAATGACAAAAGGTGTTACATTTTAGAACATCAATGATCAGTCTGGAAGTGTTCAGGTTTGAGACAGTTCTGGTAAATGCCAAAGTAAGGCACCTCATATTTGTTTAGTCCTTCTCTTTTTAATAGACTTTTTGGCAACAGAGACCCCAAACATTCTTTCAGTCTGTTCAAATTGTTAGTGTTAGATTCTTTGTGAATATTCTAGAATATGTGGAATCATAGTAGGTAGCTTAATTTATTCCTGTTGTATTAGGTGTTGATTTCCTTTTCTTTTTAGGACATGTAGTTATTTAAATCCCAATAGCTTGACTGCTCGAGGAATAATCAAGCTGAGTTTCTCTCATTTTTTTTCTTCTGTTTCATAGTTAGATTATCCCACGCTGGTTGAAGAAATGAGTTGTTGTCTCCTTATTTAGTCTTGAGAACTTTTCATTTCAAGAGCTAACTTTTCAGATTGATTGAGGCCCAAGGTCCATTTTCTTAACATGGGAGTACCATATTAGAGCCAAACCCATCCCTGTTCTTGGTTTACCCAATGCTGGGACCCGATGTGATGTCATTCACGCTTTAGTTGATAGGCCTGAAGGGCGGGGTGGGGGGTTAGATCATTGTCCCACTTTAGTTGAGGGAATAGGTTGTATATCCTTATATGCTCTTGGGCAATTCTCATCGCATGAGCTAAGTTTTGGTGAGGTATGCCTAAGGTCTATTTTTTTTACCATAAACAATGTGGATTTTCTCCATAGTGCCCATTGAAGGCAACTTTCCATTTCCCTTTTTTCAGTATACATCCCTTTCTCTGTAAAACACAATTTAGAAAGCAAATCTTTTTGATATCTCCTCATTTAAAGGGAGGGTGTGTTGTTTTCTCTTCTCTTGTCCATGTGATCCCTTATACCTATTTCACGTGCACAGGCTAAGGAAAAACCTTTCTTCTGTAATAATCGTTACTATTCCACTCCATCATATTAAAGATTTTACGGGAAACCACTGAGTGAAGTTCTTATTATCTGATAGGAAGCCTTTTAGTAAGTAAAACAACAGATGAGTCAGCAATATTAAAAAGGAGGGTGGAGGAGCTATCACAGGAGGGATTGAGAGCTGAGTTCTTGTCTTCCAATGACTTGCTATCAGAAGAACCGGAACTGGTGCTTGAGAAGGAAGGTGGGGCGGCTTTTTTCCCCGATGATTACCAATTAGACGCTCATCGTACTGTTGCATTTATTGAGAAGGTTTGTTCCCTTTCCTTCTTAATATCTTTCTTCCTTTCTCTTCCACTTTGGTTCATTCTTTAGGAATAAGCTTTCATGCTATCTTACAATTCCTATATATCCTCACATTGATAATTACTTAAGTTATTGATCATTGTCCAGGGTAACAGGCATTTTGCTGTGGAAGGGAGATATGCCGAATTTTATCATGAACCTGCCATTGGATTAGTTAGGTTTGACAGTTTCCATATTTACTGATGTTTGAACTCTCCCTGGTCAATATGGTCACTATTAATAAATTTAATAAATTCAGACATGGAAATAGCTGCGAGGTTGGAGCTATTCAAACTTCCAAGAATACATTGCACAGTAAGAAGGCTGTTGTGATTGCAGCAGGTTGTTGGACTGGGTCTTTGATGCACGACCTGATTAAGCAACCAGATATTGAACTCGACCTTCCTATAAAGCCTCGAAAGGTTTTGGATAAGATGTAACATGCCCATTGAATTATTTACTTTGTTGCATTTGTTTTGTTATCTTATTTTCTTATTGAAGATCTAATAAAGGGTTAAAAGAAAAGTAGATTTAAATAATTTTCAAAGAAAACCATATTATTATTTGTTGACTTTTTATAGATGCACAAGTTCTAGTCATCTATCCCATAGCTACAACCAATTGGCACATCAGATGGAGGAGGGGATGAATGGAAGTGAACTAGGGTGAAATACACCCATTCACATGCTGATGCTCATATGCCAGCCAAACCAGACCATTACTGTTATATCTTATTTCTTTCTCGTGGCACTGTCATTGTTTTACATAATTGTCACTATATTATTAGGAACTTCATTTTCTTCTCCTGTCGATTGGGTGAGGGTGGGGGGTTGAATTGGGAGAGTCATATCTGATTTGGTTCTTCACATGCATATGCTAGTCTGTAGCCACCATTTCTTACTCGTCCCTCTCTGTTAGTGCTTCAGACCATTTCTTTAAGTTCAGCTGATGCCTAGTTTTGCCTAATTTAGTTCAGGTCCTGGATAGTAGGCAACATTAATTCATATGATATTTAAAAGTAAACATGTGAGTATTTGTGGGTATGTAACTGGATGCTCACCTGGTACTAGTATGAACTATACTTTCTTGTTAACTTTTGTTTGATCCCTGCCTCCCCCTTTCTGTGGTACAGTTTCTTGTTAATTCATATATCCATTAATTCTATGGAGGGGTTTCTACATAACCCAACTTACAAACTAATTCTGGAAACAAAAAGGAAGAGTATGAAAAGAGAGAAGAGAAATGAAATCAAAAGTTGCTCCATGACTTCTTATCTCAGCGCATGGAATCTGTATTAATCCACTCCTTTATCCCTTTAGCTGGTTATTAACTTCAAATAAGATATTGTTTTACAAGCTCAAGATACAAACACTCAGCAGTTAGAAGAATCCGAAGCTCTTAATGGTCTGTCTGTCTGTCTAAATCAGCCTTAAAAGAATCCAAGATTCTCAATTGTGTCTGGATGTACATTATTTTCAAGAGTTCCCTTCTAAACCTATCCACCTCAAATATGGAAGTCATTAAGTGAATATCAATATAGAAAAGGTGAAAACCGACGGCCAGAAGAGAAGCATGTAATGCATGATGGCAATTTGATTAATCTTTCTATGTATGGATCTACCTCCCTGTCATAAATTTTTCGCATGAGACCTTTTCTTGTGCCTACTTTTCAATAGATTCAACCTTATATATTTGATATTAATTTACTAGTGAAGCTAAATTTTGCCTCTGTAAACAGGGTCACCTGCTTGTGATAGAGAATTTCAAGTCGTTCAAGCTGAATCATGGAATTATGGAGGCAGGGTATACCAAGCATCAGTCGGCAACCCTTAAAGCTACTGCATCTGATTCAGGGCCTGTCTATAATGCACAAGATTTGTCTGTTTCAATGACGGCAACCATGGATGCGTCAGGCAATCTCGTCCTTGGTAAACTATATCCTGTTGTTGAATTATGTAATCCTCCTGTGCTTTACCCACAACCAGTATGTCTAACCCAATTCAGCTAGATGTGGGTAGCTCCAAGCACCATATCACCCTTTTTCCTCCCTTGTAATGCAAAATATTAAGGGGTCGTTTGGTGTGAGGAATAAGAACAAATAGTCTGATAAAAAAATAGTCCAGGGATAAAATTTTGGTGTCTTGTTTGGTTGCCAAGTTTGGGATAACTTATCACACCATTTATACCATCGTGATGGGATAAGTTATCGCATATACATGGTGGGATAACTTATCCCAGGGTAGCTAATCCCGAGATAATTAATCCTGGGATAACTTGTTCCCAACCAAACAACGTTCTTTTTTTTTTATGAAGAAAAGGATTTCATGAAAGAGCATCAGGGTGATGCTAATGACAAAAGTGTACAAAGAAAGAGAGTTAGTTCCCTTACACGAGTAAGCTTGGATCAAAGAGCTAACAAGATCCCAAAAACTGTCAACACTATTAACAGGAGACAATAAGTTCCAACTAAACAGATTGACTAGGCATTTAGTTTTTAGAATATAGCTTAGAGTTGAGATCCCATCAGAGCATCTGCGATTTCTTTCATTCAAGACGCACCAAAATATTACTGCTGGAATCATTTTCCAGATCTTCTTGATGGTTTTATCAACTTTCCGAAAATTCCAACTAGAGTAGGCTGCCTTGATATGAGGAAAGACCCAGTGTAGACCAAACTTAGTGAGGAAACAGTTCCAGATGCCTGCTACAAAAGGGCATTGCAAAAAAAATGTGGTTGACACTTTCAGATGATGGCACTGTGAGAAATATAGGAAAAGAATATTATTGAATTGTTTGGTGTAAACACAAATATCCTCAAGAAGAAGAGGATATTCCTAGTATTTTAGATTATTTATGAAGCTTAGTAGGGATACCCCTCCCTCTGTAATTTTGTTGTAAGTATTACTGGAATACCTTTCTGATTATTCCTTTTGTTCATAATACAAGTTACCTTCTTCAAAAAAAAAAGAATATTATTGAATTGTTGTTGTGTCTTCATTATTACATTGAGACCCTATTTATAGACACTAGAAAACAATCCTTTACCAAGTAGGATACTATTTACTATTCCTATTTCTATTTGTATTCCTATTCCTATTCTAAATAGGATTGTATAAACCTATTCCTATTCTAACA